CCTTATAGCCAACCATTTAGATGTTGTCACCAAAAGAAAGGGTTAACCAAAGAATCACCACATGCTTCTGAGACAGTACCTTCTTCAGCACCTTCCAGAACCTCACAAGAGACTGCATCGTCACTGATTCGTCAAAGGCTCTAAGTGTTGTGTTCTGTTGCCCTTCTTACATGCCAGGTGTTCAGGCTTCTTATTGAGGTAAGTACGTTCATGTCACTTTTGAGTGTCGAATAAGCGAAAAAAAACACGCGTAGACAAAGAAACAAGGGGCCGAGTTCGAAAAAGCAATGAAAGTCCCAACGGCCGAGGTGTCAGTTGGGTGTCATATTTACATGGGTCAGCCGTGGTCTCAGATGGGGAAAGGAAAAAAATAGGGGCAAGTAGGTTGGAGTCACACCAGACGTTCAGAATAGGCAACTTAAACTAGCAGTTCCCGAAACGGAGCAAGAAAGGCGAACCCCCTAAATCTGCCAAGGGCCACTAATGATAATGACTGGCGCAGTTTTCTACCCCTGCTAAACTTGCACATTTCGAAACTCACACCACCACATAGGCACCACTTAGTCTTTTCTTGCGTATCTCCAACTAAAGTGTGCCACTTGCACATTTCGAAACTCACACCACCACATAGGCACCACTTAGTCTTTTCTTGCGTATTTCAAACTAAAGTGTGCCACAACCACAGTTTCCCCCAAAAATTATAAAATGCCCAACGGATACTTTTTCTCTGCGGCCGCATGTTTTTTCTGCCTTCGCGAACTAAAAACCTGCGGCCTGAGCAGTTATTTCCCTCTTATTCAGTGTGATCAGTTGCGCAGCCATCCCTATTCTAGATTTATGTTGCAATTTTTTTTGAAGTGGCGTGAATGCAGATTTAGCGGTGGCTTTTTTTGCCCTGTTGTTTCCAGACCTGCTAAAGTTGCCTAGTCCAAACTCTAGGTGTGACCCAGGAGCCGTTGCCCCTAAAAGAGAAAAGAGGAGGAAAGGAGAACTATTTTTGGACGCCAAAGAGGACTCCGAGGCTTCTTCTTTGAAAGGATCAACATTCCTCACCACCATGGGCTTTTCTGGACCATGTCCGCTTCTGTGTCGAGACCTGAAAACTTCCGTAAGGCCTCTAAAAACAGTGGCAAAAGGCTGAAAGCCTTAACTTCTTCTCCGAACCTGATAACCACTCCACTGTTAGGCGTTGTCTGACTAGTCCACTGTTGGCTCTCATACCGTCCCGGGCCTACGGTTGGGGCCCAAAACCTTCCAAAAAGAAGACCTGTCATCTGGTATAACTTCTCCCTACGAATCCTATCTAGATATAGATCATATAGTAAATTCTCCCCCTCTCGTCCACTGGACCAGTTCTCGAGGCGGTACCAGAGGCCCGGGAAAGACGGCCTTGAAAAGATAGTTACCCAGGTAACCCGGGGCTAGGTCCCACTTGCACGAATTAAGAGATACTGACCCTAGATAGCAAAGATCAACGGCCGAGATCTCCCAGTTTGCGTAAGAGGGACCTTCCCCCGGGTACGAGAACTACCCCAGAGCAGGTAGAGCGCAAAATTTAATCACAGCCTGCAGGAGGGGCCCTCATACCCCTCCATCTAGCAAAAAGAAAAAAGAAAAAAAACATTTCCAGAAGACATACCGAACGGCGGGAGATCTTACTTGCAAAATTTAATCACAGCCTGCAGGAGGGGCCCTCATACCCCTCCATCTAGCAAAAAAAAAAAAAAAAAAAAAAAAAAAGAAAAAAAAAAAGAGAAAAGAAACATTTTCAGAAGACCTACCGAACGGCGGGAGATCTTACTTTTCGCCCCCGGGGACACTTCCCTTGTGAAGCCGTGAATTGTCAGAATCGATTAAACCGAATGCGTAATCGATTTGTCTTCACTGACCCAAAGCATGTGGCTAAACGGTATACACAGGTGACACGTAGCTGTTCAGTAGACAGTGCAGGACTGGGAAACCTGGGAGCACACAAGTTTTTTTTTTTTTTTTTTTTTTTTTTTTCCCACAAAAATCTAATTTACCAAAAACAAATCAAATTTAACAGCGTTGGAATTCCTGACATTCGTCTCAAACTACTTACTAGTGTCACTCCCAAAGAGGAAGAAGATACGAGACAGCCAACCTAAGACAGAAGACTCCTGCAGCAAGAACGCACCAAACCGGTGTGTGTGCGATGTGTGTGTGCACGTGGATGGGTTTGTTCGTGTGCGCTGGTGTGTGTGCCGATGTGTATGTGTGTGCGTGTGCATGCTTGTGTTCGTGCGTGTGATTGGGCCTCGCTCCACTACACAGCGGTGTACATGCATTTGGACGCGTTGGGGACCAGGTGCATTTAGACGATTCCAAGGTAATGAATGTATCCGGTCAAGAAAGATTCCAAATGCATGTACAGTGCTATGTAGTGGAGCGAGTCCCATTGTCACATTCGCCATACATAACTCCGCAAAGAGGAAGAATGACAGACTGTTTCGCAGGACTTAACTCATAAAGGAGAGGAACCTCAACAGTCTGCCCAGGATGCAAGTGCATACATGCGTGGGCATGTGTGTCCAGGATGCAAGTGCATACACGTGTGGGCATGTGCGTGTCCAGATTACAAATGTGAACATGCACGGGTATGTATGTGTCCATGTGCGTGCTTGCTTTCGCGGGGGAGAGAGGGGGCAGGGCGCCTTTTGACCGTGAGCAAGAAACATCAGCCACGCTACAGAGCCATAAATTCAGAGAGCCATAAATTCAGCGCGTAGAGGAGTCTATAAGACGTTTGCCAGCTTCGTTACCATGCAGCACATCCTGTAGAGTTTGTCATCGGTTCGCGCATAGAGTATGGCCAGGCCCTGAACTCAACGGGCCGACAGCGGGCAAATGCCCAACATGCACTGGGCGTTAGGCCCGACCGTTTTTCCCAGTACCTACCATCCCGTACAGGTCCTCTTTCCAACGGGAGCGTTGATCCAGAGCGTCGGCCGGCTCTTTTTTTTTTTTTTTTTTTTTTAAGAAAACTCTCTTTCTGTGCCAGTGCTGCTGATAAGAGCAGACAGCACTAGCACCGGATGGGGAGGCTCCGTCTATTGGTGGGGAGCATCACCTGCTGGAAACCGGGTCCAGCGTCGGCCGGCTCTACAGTTCAGGTAATCGTAAGACTTGGTGGACGGCCTGGACGGTCGCGCAATCTTAAAGTCTTTAAGATCGTGCGAAAATCTGGACCGTCGGGCCGGCAGGACCGTGGGCAGCCCGGATTGCCCAATTCTTTTTTTTTCGTTCTATATTCTTCTCTCAACTTCTGTTTCTTTTACCTTCCACTACCTACTCCTAAGACTATCTAGAGGGGACCTCTGCAAGCATAGTTTCCTCTCTCTGTGAAGGGGAGATTTCATGTTGCCCCTTGCCCAATTCTCACGTTAGCAATTTCTATTAAGTGTAGGGATAAAATAGGGCACCATACTGAACTCGGGCCGTAACAATGCCAATTTCTTTCCCCCTTCCTTCAGCGCACTTGACGGCCTAGACCTGCAAACACCATTGGACGCACGAGTGAAATTCCATGTACATTTTGACGTTCGATTCTCATTCTCGTAACTGCCAAGACCAGCTGCAGACTCGCCCTTTCACCTGCTGCTCATGCATGATCTTCGGAACGACAACGCATTCAGTACATCTCTTTCAATAGAACACACAACACGTCCTGGTTCCACTGCACGATATAACAGCCATCCAACTATACTCAGAATACCAGGCTTCCATGCTGATTTTGTAACACTCAGCACTGCACTCCCCACTCTCATGTAACCAAGAGTGAATCCGTACGCAGAGTTTGTAACACTCATAAACTGAGCTTTACAAAGCAAAGAGTTTGCAGGACTCGGACATTGCACTCCACGGTTATACATAACGACGAAATCGAAACACTTCCGAAGGATTTCAAATGGGTTAGCAATGCCATAGCACACGAGTGCTAGCTCTGGAAAGAAATCATACTCCACTCAACATGAACACCACCACATCGAAGGATAAAAATAAGTGACAGCGCGCCGATCACCATCAGAACCATACAGATATGAGCTGACTCATATGCATCCTGTCCACAACGCATTTAAGTCCAAACATGGTTGCACTTCGTCCCAACGACGACTTCACAGAGCAACATATACCAGCCTGCTTCAACATATGAAAACCGAGCAACATATACCAGCCTGCTTCAACATAGCAAAACCGACTAAAGATAAACTAGACACAAGGTGTCAATTGAGAAAACATTTCGGTGAATCGGAGAACACATACTCGCACATCAGATTGATGCTCCATTGCGAGGCAGCTTTTGCTGACACGTACATCCTACAGCTCCAGACCAGCAAAAAAGGTAAGATTCCACTTGGACAATGATAGCCAACACTCGCAATCAGCAACAAGTCTCGCTCTCACAATTAGGAGACAGAAAATGACAGGGTAAAAAGAACAGCGCATGTCTGCCTCCATTCTGGCCATCACAGAATCTTTTATGATTGCCACACCGCACCACATACATTCTCATCCTACCTCTTCATGCGAAACCGCAGCACTCCCACCCAGAAGTCCCCTCACCCCTCTCTCCCTCCCATTTCATTCCTCCCTTCCTTTGTCTATCTACATCAGATCCACCCAAAACCATTCCCAACAACTCTGCAAGACTTCAGACCTTGCGGCCAACACATCCTCCCAAGACAAAGCAATCACAACCGTGGCACAACTCTACTAACGACCATTTCATCAAAATGGTCATCTTTTATTTTTTGAACGAAATTGAAACAGAGTTTTTTGGCCGAAAACTCGTCAAAATTTGCTGTTCCTGAGGGCCCCTGGCTGTACATGGACCTAGCTTGAGACCAGGTACTTCCAGACAAGGAACTCGTCTTTATATTTCCCGCAATAAGAACGTGGTCAAGTGACAAGATTCCAAAACTGCAACACGCAGCACCACTGACCACGCTTCTCAGCTAGGCTATACGGTGGTAAGACACGAGATTCTTCACGTCGTTAGCTCCATGATGGAATTGGCAATGTCTCCGCCCGTATTCTTCAGAGCCTGAATAGCCTTAGCACGAGAAACACCGGCCTGGGTTTGGACGAGTTCAACATCCTTGGGCTCAACGCCGGTCTCGTCAAGTTGACGTCAACCTCCTCTTCCTCTGCATCGGCTGCCGAAGGAGCTTCCGACATCTTCTGCTCCGCCTGGGGCAAATCAGGAGCCTTGAACTGCTCGGCAGCATTGAACTGCGCCTGCGAAGTCAGGTCCTCGATCTTGGCCTCACCAAATATGATGTAGGTGTCCGAATTGGGGCTTTTAAAAACATCCGGCTTAGAGATCACAAAGAGAATCTGCATCACAGGAAACAGGAAGGACAAGGACGTCATTAAATCAGAAAGGGTTGGCACATTGCACCTCCACATCCTGAGGCGCTTACTGGAAGTCCCCTAGCACAGCACTAATAACCCTATACTACATGACCTAGTGCAGCTTCGCTCGCAAAACAAACGCGACCGCGGACCGGTGATGCAGAAAATCTGGAGGCAACAGACAGATGCAAACACACTCTCTCTCTCTCTCTCTCTCTCTCTCTCTCTCTCTCTCTCTCTCTCTCTCTCTCTCTCTCTCTCTCTCTCTCTCNCTCTCTCTCTCTCTCTCTCTCTCTCTCTCTCTCTCTCTCTCTCTCTCTCTCTCACACACACACACACACACACACACACACACACAAACACAAACCGAAAAGAACACAGGAAACGAAAAACGACATCGCGCCTTCAACCCACCGAATACCACCTCGACTTCCCCCGAGCCCTCTTCCCTTCCTCTCTCTCTCTCTCTCTCTCTCTCTCTGATTCCCACCTTTCCCTCATCGGGGGACAGCCATATATTTTTCTCTTACCTCACTTACCTTTTAACTGGCGTTCTGCCATGTCATTGAACATATCTTTCTTTTCAGAACCTACCACTACTCCGAAGGCTAAACCTGGGAAAAAAAACATCGTCTGAACTACCGGTAGCCCATATGTGTCCGAATTGTACACACAGGTAGCTGTTAGTTTCCAGGTGTGAGCGGCACACGCAGGCACCTGCTAGTGAATGGTACACAAAGGTAGCTGTTCGTTTGCGGGTCTGTCATGTAAACATAGGTAACTTGTTTGTTTACAGGTCATAGGTTCGATCATCTTTATCTCGGATCAAATCGCTAGATAATCTTATACCCAGCTCCATAATTTATGCCTCCAGGGCCTTCCATCGCCAGGGGTCCTTCTCTACACCACAGCGTACCCATTCTTATATAATATTAAGTGCGGTGTGAACACTACGTCCACAGAGTGAAGCCATGTGAATATGGTGAGGAAACCGGCCTTCCACCCTGGCCCATGCGTCTGAGTGCCACACACATGCAAATGTCACTACTCAAGACATGAACTCCTCTCCTGAAGTAAGCGGGCTGTCGACTTGGCCCATGCGTCTGGATGGGACCCAGATGTAGTTGTTCGACACATGTACGAGGTGCCCCTGCAAAGACATTGTAGCTGAATAGGTGTTATGTATGTATACCGGGCAGAAACCGTCCATTGAGTCAGCCCATGCGGCTGAACGGCACTCACATCTAGCTGTTAGTTGGAGTCGCATGTAGCTGTTACTTTATAATATAATAATGGCATGAGCTCGAGTCCTTCCAAAACCGTCCATCGAGTCAGCCCAGGCGTTTGAATGGTACACACGTGTAGCTGTCCGTACACAGGGAGGCCCGACCCCCGGCAAACGACCCAGTCCACATGAGGTACAAATCCCACCGGAAACAGGACTATCGTACAGCAAACCGTCTGTTGACCCAGCCTATGCAGCTGAACGTACGGACATCTAGCTGTTCGTACGGTACGACGTATACAGGGCCTGAGTTCCAGTCCTGCTATCATTGCTATGAACCAGCAGGTACAGTAAGGGCTACGAAACGAAAGAAAGCAAAACCGTCCGTCCGGAACTGCCAGCAAGGGAAAGCGAGAAAGGCAGTCTTTTTTTTTTTTTTTTTTTTTTT